CTTTTCTTTTCTTTTCTTTTCTTTTCTTTTCTTTTCTTTTCTTTTCTCCCTTCTGCTGCTGATTTTCTTCAGAACTGAATGACAAAGGGGATGTGATCAAAGCTGCTAGCAATAATTCCTTCCACACTTCAGTCCCAGTAAGCCGTTTTAGTAGCCAAGCTGGGAGAAGCTTGGTTAGGAGAAACCTTTTGCAATGTTTGCAGCTTCAGCTCTGAACTGGAAAATCAGTGGAGCAGCATCTTCTTTTGGGCAGGATGGGACCCGGGAAACAGGTGCATTGGGAAGTGGCTGGCCTTCTAAATAGGTCATCAAAGCCTAAACTGAGTTCTGTTAGATGTGCTAAAAATGACAGTTAAAGTCCTGCAATAAAGGAAGCCCAGATTTGACAATAGGGAAAGCTGATTTGCACAATCTGCATAAATTATGGAAACATACAGTATCTCTTGTTTTGCATAAAATATTCTGCAACTTTTCTGGTTTGACATCAGTTCACCCACTTGTCAAAAGGCCAATGATTGGGGAGGGGCTTCAGTAAATAGACCCCCCCCCTCTTTATCCAGGATGAGAACTTCCAAGGTTTCACTGGGTATTCTTCTGCATTCCAGGCATCAGGTCTAGAAACGTGTTGTTTTTCTGTATAAAGCTGATGGCAACTGCAGTCTTCCCCATCAAGGAGCATAATTTCTGCAGTTTATGCCCCATCCTGCAGTTTTTCCTGCCCTTGCTCAAGATCCATTAAGCATCCGGATCGTTGCAGAAGAAATACTGAATGAAGAGATAGACTTAGTAGGGAAAGTGAAACTGAGTGGAGAGGTGATCCTGCCTGCACCATTGTTATTTTCATCCCTAGACATTTAAATTGATTTATCTTGCCTTTTTTCTTACAAGAACTCAAAGTGCCTTACATCGTTCTTCTCCTCTGGCTCTCCCCACAACAGGGTGGCTTTTGCTGCTTGGAGGCAAGATGGGGGGAATAGCAGAGACCCTCTAACTGGGCAGCAATGTTTCCTGTCGCTTCCTCCTCAGGTCAAAGACTGGGTCTTGCATCAGCTTCCCCTCCCACCTTGAACACCCTTCCACCCTTTCCAAAGCAGGCAGTTTCTCAACTCAGCCCGGGAAACTTCACTGGACAACCCTGAATCAGTGAACTTCTGCTCTCCTCTTTATTCTTCCACCTCCTCCTCAGAATATAAGAACATAAGAAAAGGCCTGCTGGTATAAAGGAAAGGTCCATCTAGTCCAGCGCTCCATACACAAGGTGGCAAACCGGCTGCCCACAGGATCCCCCAAGCAGGGGGTGTGCCAGACCTCCTCCTGCCCAAGTTCCCCAGCAACTGGTGTGCGCAGGCTTGCTGCCTCTGGTAAAGGAGGTCGCCCTTGGCCAGCAAGGCCGGTAGCCACCAATAACCACCTCCTTCCTGAATCTGTTCGATCCCCTGTTAAAGCCATCCAGATGGGTGGCCATGGCAGCGAATTTCATAGTTTTCCTATACACTGCGCAAAGGACTCCTTTTGATCCATCTGAACCTCCCGGCAGCCTCGTGGGATGGCCCTGCCTTTGAGTGTTACGTTGTCTGCACACCACGCAGTGCCTTCAGCTCCTCTGTCCTGCTGCCCCTCCTCACCATTTTCCTAAGCTGAACTATCCCAGTTGTCGCCACGCCTCACAGGGGAGCTGCTGCAGCCCCCTGATCCTTTTTGTTGCCCTTCTCTGCAATTCTTCCAATTCAAGGATGTCCTTGCTCAGTGG